TAGATAGATAGATAGATAGATAGATAGATAGATAGATAGATAGATAGATAGATAGATAGATAGATAGATAGATAGATACAGATTTGCTGGGGTGGAGGGAGAAAACGACCCACCCTCCAAGCAGTTCTGGTTCCACACAGACAAAAGCATCTCTGGGCTACGGGGGACCTCATCCAACACAGAAGGTGCCAACCTCAGTGGGCACTCTGGACTTTCCAAAAGCAGCTCCTTCTTAAGTATCAACTCCGAAAGATGGGCGAGGATGATGCTGCAGCAGAGACTAAGGGGGCACTTATTTCTCCTTGTGGCTTGCCCCTCCCCCCATGCTTTCCATCCAGAAGCTCCACTCTGAGGGCCCAACCTGGTTGTGAAGAGCTGAGCATTGCAGTTATTCCCCTTGCTATGGTCTCCCCTCCCGCTCCAGGCCCCCTGCCAAGGCCTGAAAGCCAGGATCTAATGGCTGCTATTAGAAAAACAGAACCTGCAGGCTGAAGACCCTTGCGAGGCACTCATAACTGGCAGAGAAACAGCGACAAGTTATGCCATTATAATCAATAATTCCCAGGGCGACTACAATAACACTCCTTCTGCTTTATTAATCCCTTCCTGGACTCCTGCCTCTTGCCCACCCTCGCTCTCCAGGGCAGCAGGGCTAAGGACCACCATCTGCCAAGCTCAGCCTCCCAGCAGCTGTGTTCAGCCTCCCAGACAGAAGTGATGCTCAGAAGTGAGACCCCCCATGGAACCCCACCCAGGACCCTTCCTGCCCCTGGGACCCACTGCAGCTTCCCGTTCCGTCCTCCAGGCCTGCCCTTCAACCACTGACCACCGAGTTTCCCCATGGGGGCCTGCAGCTGGGCTCCAGCCACTTCCCTTCCACCTACAATGGGCTCTGCCTGTTTCTTCCAAGCCATTTTGATGGGTCAATAGCAGACAGGAGACTGCCAAGCAAAGGCGGCCCATTTTCTTCCTTAAGGGGAGGGAGGACCTACAGGCAGGTCCCTCTGGGCTGCAGGGCCATAGGGACGGGTCAGCTGCCTCGCATGGCCAATGTCCCAAGAAAAATCACACCAGGGCCTCTGCCGCAGGTGGCGGGCAAGCGCCAGGGCCCATCTTGTCTTAGGCGTGGTGAGACAGACCCCCCCACACCCACAGATGGGATCCACTCTCTAGTCAGGTGGCCAAATTATGCTGATCTGTCAGCTGAGCTCCAGGTGCTGTTGCTAGAAAGGAGGCCCCAACTGTCTCAACCTAACCACAGGGCACAGTGATTGGGGAGCCAGGAGGAAACATCAACTACCCCTCTTCTGAAACTCAGAATTTCTTTCAGGGAAATCAGACCAGATTCTTGGGAGCCTCTTGACTGCCTTTTGAAGCAAATGGGGTGGGGGGAGCTTTGCCCTTTCTGGCTCAACCATGGCAGCCCCAACGCCAGGCAAGCGACTCCAGGCCTCCCAGTAACTCACTGGCCACCTGCACCTGTTAGTGGGAGAGTCTGGCCTTGCCCCCTTTGGCCTCTGCTGCGCAGCAACCCAAAAGGGACCCCGGGTGCAGGTGGGACTCAGCTGCTGTTTGGGAGGGACCTTGGAGAGAGACTCTGAACCTGGTGGCATCTGACAGGCCTGACACAACCTCAGGGAAGGATGAGAAGGAGCTGGGATGGCAGCAGGCTCTGCCCCCCCACAATGATCCAGAAGAAGCTGCTGCCTCCCCCCCCCAGGGCTATCAGACTGCAAAGGGGAAGGGGGAAGAACCCCCAGACTTTGGCACCACCACAGAATTCCCAAGCTGCGCAGGTGTGTTGTGTTTGTGTAGAGACCTCCGAGACCCATCGGGCGAAACCGACTGGACCCACTTCCTTCCCCCCAAGACTCGGGAATCCGCCCGCAGATCCCCGCCACCAACATTTCTGGGGCTCACCTGAGTCGCCATGGAAACAGCCGTCCGCGGCGGCCCTCGCAGCGGGCGACTCTCCGTCGCAGGGCCAGGGCGGCGCGCTCTTCCTGGGCTCGGGGCCGGCGGCCTGCGCGTGGTGCCGGTGACGCTTGGGGGCCTGCGGGGTCGGGGGGCTGCCGCTGCTGTCGAAGGACTGCTGCGAGGGCGAGCGGCTCTTCTCGCGGGAGAGGCGGCAGGCGGTGGGGCTGGGCGACACGTGGCTCGACTGGCCGGACGAGAAGTCCTCCTCGCTGGATGTCAGGTTCTCGTTGGAGCTGCAGTCCGGCGTGTAGCCGCCGCCCCCGCCCAGGTCCTCGAAGCCGCGCGGCGAGTAGGAGCGGCGCGGCCAGGTGAGCGGCTGCTCGGCCGTCCCCGCCGGGCCGCCCCCGAAGGCGCTCTGGTAGGGCTGGAAGGCGGCGGGGGAGGCGGACGTCCAGGCGGGCCGGCCGGCGCCGTCCAGCAGCAGGTTGTCCTTCAGAAAGCGCGCGTTGAGCTCCGCGTCCTCGTACTCGCCCCCGTCGTCATAGGCGGCGTCGGCCGAGCGGCCCCGCGGCGGCCCCGGCAGCTTCTTGCGCGCCTCCAGCTGCATGGCCTGGCTGCCCAGCGCGCTGATGCGCTCCGAGACGTCGCGGTCGTTGACGCGCACCAGGCCGCGCTCGCGGTGGTACTCCAGGTTCACGTAGAAGGGCTTCTCGCCCGCCTCCCGGCCGTCCGGCGGCCTCGAGGGCGGCGGCGACGACGAAGGCGCCTTCCTCCCGCGCTCCAGGCCGGAGCGCAGCAGCCCCACGCCGCCGCCCCCCTGGCCGCGCTCCCTGGCGCCCGACTCCAAGACGTCCCGCTCCACTGAGGCGGCAGCGGGGGGCAGGCGGCGGCGATTGCAGCTGGGGACCGGCCGCGCCCTGCCCGGGGAGCCCGCCGCAGCGCCCTCCTCCCGGGGCTTCTCGTCCGAGGCAGCGGGTTTGGCGCGCTCCTCCTGGTCGGGCTGCGCGGCGTCCGCCTCCGAGCTGCCGTCGCTGTGCGCGGAGAGCTTGCGCAGGGCGGGCGGGCGCGGGCGGGCGGGCCTGTCGTCGTCGGCCTCGGGGCCGCGCTGGAAGCCCCAGCGCTGCCGGTCGTAGCTCTTGCGCTCCTTGGCCAGCAGCGTCTGCAGGTAGATCATGCGGAAGCGCTCCTTGTTTACCTCCAGCTCCAGGCGGCGGATCGACGCCTTGCAGCGCTCCAGCTCCGCCTCGATGTCGCCCACCGAGCGCAGCGCCATCGCGGGCGGCTCCGCGTCGTTGAACTGGGCGCGCCACGCCTCGGCGAAGCCCACCGGATCTACCATGGCAACGGGCCGGCCGCCGCCGCGGGCGAAGGCGGGATCAAGGCGGTGTGCAGTGCGGGCAGCGCTCGGCGCTCATCTCCGGAGGGCGGCGGCGGGCGGGCTGCTCCGGGACGGCGGCGGTCCCGACCCGCCTCCAGCTCTCTGGGCCCCGCCGCCCATGGCCGGGCCCCACACCCCTCCGAGCCGCGGCGGCGGAAGGCAGGCAGGCGGCAGGCAAGAACAAAGAGGCAGCGGGCGAGGCGAGGGGGACGCGCCGGCCGGCCGGGCGGGTGCGAGGCGGGGGG